CATGTTCTCTTTTAAGATATTCCTGCAATTTTTGGTAAATATTTTCTGTCATAGTAATTGAGAATACAAGTTTTAGTGCCTTAGCTTCAATTGCCCAACACATACATAATTTTGATACTGCCGAATTTTGTCTTATCCCAGATGTTGTAAGCCAATTATTCAAAGTCTCCGCTTTTATATGACAAGGTTTTAAAAAGCGTCCAAGTATGAATGGTATTATCATCGCAAGCCTTAACATATCAGAAAACATAAAACTCTGATGATGTCATAATGGATTAGGCATTTGACACCAATGTGTAGGCTTTTCGATCTGTTTCTAATACTCTATAAAAGAATTTTCACCATTCGTATTAAATACATTAAACATCGCTTCCAGTAGAATACGTGTCTTTCCAGCCATAGAGTGATATGCGTCATGTGGTGTTTAAAGGTGTCAGTCCTATTTAAGTATTTTAAACGGTCCTGATTTTGCTAAACTATATTCAGCTGCCAATCGTTCTTTTCTTGTCTTTGAATTTTGTCTAGCGATTTTCAAAAACCGTTCCTCAGTTTGCTGGTGAAAGCGAGCATTTTTTATATAGTTATAATCAATACTAGTATATTGATCATTTGAAACATTACATGTTCGGCATCCGTATTTAGCATTATGTCTTTTCACATCTGCCAAGTCATTGCCTTGTGGCAAGTCAGCAGTAATGCAACCAATACCACCTATAACAAATGCATTACCATTCAAAGTTCTCATAATAAGACCTTTTTCTAAGCTCTTTATATCCTGAAGAACCGGTTCAATAAAATCATCAAAATTTGCTTCAAATGGAACAAATCCTATTAAAAAATGGGTTTTTAACTGTTTTCGAAATGTTAGTGGCATATTTCTGAACTGTAAATACACCCCACCTAAGGAATGATACACGTTTCTGTAAGTACCAAAATTATTGAAATAAATGTCTATAAAAATCTTTAAAATTGGAAGGTGTTGTGGTAATCGTGTGAATGTAATATATTCACAAGGTAATCGATGCTGCATTTTTATATCACGGAATTTCCATCTACCATCGAATTGATATACAATTTCTTTGATATAATATTCATATTCTTCAGATTCTGGTATATCACATAACCAAACAATAATACATTGTTCTATATTCGCCAGATTAACCAAATTTACTTCACCTTCAACTAACCATAACTCGTTACCATTTCCACGAGTATGTCAGTTATTTGTTGAATGGCAGTTAGGAAGATTCTTATGCGAAAGGATTCAATCAATTTTTAGTTTAAATGAATTATTGTTAGTTTCATCAACTACTATACTTCGTACATGGCATATGAATGTTGAAGATTGTTTACGGTATTCTAAAAATTCGCCTGCTTTATATACTAGTAAAAAAATAGTTATTATTTTTTAAAACATAAATTTTATAAAAAATTTTTTACTAACCTTCGTTGTTGGTTTCTATTTCATGTTCTCCAAACATTGGTGAATCTTGCCAGAGTTCACCATGCCAAAATTCTCGTCATTCATCTGTAACCACTCTGGGTCTGAAGTATATATTTGGCATGAGTACTGGATTATTTAAAATACGTTCTAAATACATTATTGGAGAAATGGTAAATGCTGTTTTAGTAAATTCATATATGGATGGTGTTCATTGCATACAAAGGGATACTTCGTATTTGCGTACTTTAATTAATGGTAGTCTATCTCGCCATTTACGAATCTGGCAAATATTTGCAGTAAGATCCTCTTTTCGATATTCAGGATGAGTGAGAATCTTAAAGAGATCTTCATATGCAGAGGTTGCTATGTGAATAAATCGTTATGTTAGTATGTTAATTATTTTAAACTCATTCATTCAAAATAATACCCACATATCATATGTTTGGTAATCCAGATAAAGAGCATCGCTGATGTAAAATTAGAAAAATATGGACCATATTCCCCATTGAAGCCTTTAAAATCAGAAGACTCTTTTTCTAACAGATCATAATCTTCGAAAAATTCTTCTTCTTCAGTATTAAGTAACGGTTTATATGGAAGTTGGTAGTCCTGCATTTGCTCATCAAACTCCTTGAAATTATAAAATATATGTTATTAGGATTTCTGAAATTTTCTATAACATCCGTTATGATTTATAATATTAAAACATATTAATCGACCTCATTTATCGTTATTTCTGATGAGATATAACTGTTGGAACTCTCTACCTCCAGTTCTTCTTCAATAGCCGAAGTAACACTTTCTGTATTAATATGTTCCGAAATATTATCATATGCGATGTCTTCCGTCAAAGCAACACTTTCTGTATTAATATATTCTGAAATATTATCATACGAGATGCCTTCTACATTATCAATATGTTCTGAAGAATTATCAGAAGATATTGAAGATTCATTATCTTTTTCATTTTGTATCTTTTTAGATGATCTAATACGTAACTTCAGAATCGATGCATAATATGTATGGAAAATTCTTCTTGGGCGTTTCATTATTTTTTTTTTTGAGTAAAACAATTGATTTAAAATGAAAAAATGATACATATGCTTTTATAATATAATAATTAAACTTTTTATTAAAACTGATAAAATAAAATATAAATAGACTACATAGATATTAAATAAACTGTATACTGTAAACAGTAAATAAAAAAAATACTGTATATTGTTTGCTTATGTAATTTGTAATTATTAGAATTTTCTTTATTTACGGTATTGATTTCCGAATTAGGAAATATTAACCAATTTAGGATATAAAAGACTTTTTGCAATTGATTGATGTAAAGACTTTTTAAGACTTCTGCGATTGATTGATGTAAAATCATGATATAAGACTTTTAAGACTTTTATGATTGATTAATTTAAAATTAGAATGTTTAAAGTCTTTTGTGATTAATTGATTAAATTATCCAGATAATTCTTTAATTATTTTTTTTTCTTATTTAATTGATTGTTATTTTCAAATTTAAACAAACTTCTTTTTCTAATTTTCGTTTGTACTTTAATATGGCTAAACGAAAATTTGGTAAGTTGAAAATTTTTTAAATAAATATTATCTATTTATTTAAAACTTTTATTATTATAATATAGAATTGAAACCGTCTGACGAGAACGAGGGTATGTTACAAAAATTCATTAATATTTGTTCCTGTTATAGCATCATGTTTTTAATCAATACTACACATAATCTTGCTTGCAGCTTTAAACAATGAAACTACTCCGGCGAAAAAGGCTCCAGTGAGAAAAACACAAACACAAAAAGCAAATTTAAGTACGACTCCTGCGAAAGCAATACAAAAAACAAATCAAAAACAAAAAACAGTCAGAAGATATCATCAGATTCAAGTACGACTCTTACGAGAGTAACACAAAAAACAAATCCTGCAAAAACAACACGAAAAATAATCAAAAACAAAAAATTGGTCAGGAAATATCACCAGATTTTCTATTAAGTGATGTTGAAATTGCAAGTTCAACTACATTTGTTTTATCAGATGATGAAACTATGGATCAAAATCAACAGGATAACTCTTCCGTTGTATCATTACCCAATAACAATCATACATCAACTGCACTTTATTCTACAGAATCATCGATGATTTTACATTCTCCTGGGGAAATGCGATCAACACAAGA